AAGAATGTGAGGATGAGCTGGCCATGACATCTGTCCACCCATTCATTGTTCATCAGGGTTGATTTGGTTGATCTGGTTGACTAGGCAAGTGTCCCCTTCCTCCCTCACTACTCCATGTGTGACCTTCCTGTAGCATGCTCAGTTGAAGAGCAAGACCTTTCCAGATAGAGGAAGACCATTCTTCAGTCAAGAGTATAGGAGTAGCCACACTTCTCTGCTAGAACCTCCAAAGATGTGAACAGCACACGGAATGGCGTCTTTATTGTTGACTTCGGTGCTCCCCCTGCTGTCCAATGGCAGAGGTTTTTCTCTGATGTCTGGATCTGATGCCCTGTTAGTGTGTTAGTTTTTATTGCTACCAAGGTAGAGATATACATGCCAGTGTTCCACCACATCTGTTTATACTTAGAACCTTCCATTCCACTTTTTGATAAATGATTTTGGCACTCCCTATTTCTGGAATTATATTAAATGTTCCAAAGATAAATGAACAGGACATGGCCCTGACCACCACCCTAAGGAACAGGCATTAAAAACAATGGGCAGGGACAGCGGTTAAGAGGACTGGCTGTTCTTGCAGACGACCTAGGTTTGAATCCCAGCACCCACATGGCAGCTAACAGCTGTCCATAACTCCAGTCCCAGGGGATCCGACAGCCTCTTCTGTCTTCCGTGGGCATTGCACAACACGGGTGCACTTACCTACATGCAGGCAATACACCCACACACATAAAATGAAAATAATAAATAAGCTGGGTATGGTGGCACACACTTTAGTCCCAGCACTCAGGAGGCAGAGGCAGTTAGATCTCTGTGAGTTCAAGGCCAGCCTGGTCTACATAGTTCCAGGACAGCTGGAGCTACAGAGCTGTCTCAAAAAGACCAAATAAGTAAATAAATAAATAAATAAATAAATAAATAAATAAATAAATAAAATTTAAAAACAGCATTCATATGGTGGTTCATAACCATCTATAACTCCAATTTCAGGGGATCTGACACCCACCTCTGGCCTCTGAGGGCACTGCATACACACATATATACATGTAGGGAACGCATTCATATATATAAAATAAATCTTAAAAATTAAAAAATGGAGAATGGGAGCTGGAGAGATGGCTCAGCAGCTGGCAGTGTTCACTGTTCTCGCAGAAGACCCAGGTTTGAGTCCCAGCACCCACATGGCAGGCAGCTTAACAGCCATCCATAACTCCAGTTCCAGGGGATCCAATGCTCTCTTCTGGCCTCTGCAGGCACTGCACAAAACTTACACACATGCAGACATAACACTCATACACATAAAATAAATTTTAATTTAAAAATAGAAGGCATGTTGGCATACACTTTTAATCCTGGCTCTTGGGAAGCAGAGGCAGGTAGATCTCTGTGACTTCAAGGCCAGCCTGGTCTACATAGTGAGTTCCAGGCCAGCCATAACTACTAATGAGACCCTATCTCAAAAGAAAAAGATAGTGGTTCATGTCTGTAATGCTAGCATTATGGAGGTTGAGGCAGGAGGATTGCTATGAGTTCAAGGCTAGCCTGGGAGATCCTGTCTCAAAACAAAAAAAGAATTAACAGTGATCAGGTCCAAGTTTCATGTATCAAATTATACCTAACAAAGTGATTTATTTTTCATGGAGTCTTCATAGCATACACCTGCATAAAGAAATATCATCATTCCTGTGAGCAGTAGTCTCAAAGAGGCTAAAGTGACTCTCTCTGGCAGAAACCATCAAAGTTACTTGGAAATAAAACAAGAGTTCTTCAGTGGCCTAACGTCTCATTAGTTTTCTGGTATGTGAAGCTAAGGTATAGCTGTCAGAACATACACCAGGGTTTGTATTTAGTCATATTAATTTCCTGAATCTAGAAACTTCAGTGGCGTGAGTTAAGATGCTCAAGAAAAGGTCTACCTTATAGATTCAATTACAGTTCTGGATACTGAGAATATGAGTTCTGAAGGAATTAAAGAACCAATATAAACTTTCCATTTGAAATTAAAGAGGTCACAGAACTGAAGCCAATGGCACAGGCCTGTAAGCCAGTAATTCAGAAGGCTGAGGAAGGAAGATGGAAAATTCAAGGCCAGCCTGTACAGTTTAGTAATAGCTTTTTTTTGGGGGGGGGCTTTTTGAGACAGGGTCTCCCTGTAGCCCCAGCTGTCCTGGAACTCACTAGTGTAGACCAGGCTGGCCTTGATTTTATCTTTATTTTAATTATGTGCGTATGGAGGGGGGGTTGAGCATGTGTGCAAGTGCCTGTTGAGGCCAGAGGTGCAGGATTTCTCTGGAGCTGGTTACAGGCACTTGTGAGCAACCCATGTGGGTTCTGGGAACTAACTGAACTCTGGTCTTCTGCAAGGGCAGTATGTGCTCTTAACCACTGAGTCATCTCTCCAGCTCCATTTTTTGTTGTTGTTGTTGTTGAGACAGGGTCTCACTTTGAAGCTCTGGCAGACCTGGAATTATGTAGACCAGGCTGGCCTTGAACTCACAGAGATCCACCTGCCTCTGCCTCCAGAGTGTTGGGATTAAAGGTGTGTGCCACCACCATGTTATAATTTTAAGCAGAATTTTGTTTCTAATTTCTCTATCACCTAAGTACTGATTTATTTTTATTTTTGCAGTGGTGCTGGGGATGGAATTCAGGGCCTCAAGTATACTCAAGACCTCTACCACTGAGTCACATTCCTAGCCCTGAACTATTCCTAAAAAGAAACACAATAAACTGATACTGCCCTGGGTTTCCCTTCTAAGCACAGAAAGCACAGACCCCAGCTAGCCTCTTTGCTCTTTTTTCTTTTCTTTTTTTTTTTTTCTGTCTTTTTTAAGACAATCTCCCTGTAGCTCCAGCTGGCCTGGTACTGACTATGCAGACCAGGCTGGCCGTGAACTCACAGAGTTCCACATGTCTCTGCCTCTTGAGTGCTGGGACCCAGCCACTACGCACGGTTTCCTCTTTGCTCTTAAGTATCACAAAAAATGTGGAGGAAAGAACAGACAAGAGTCGTTAAGCTCAGGCTTCACAGAGCCTGACAGTGACCAGGGTTCCAGCTCCCAGATTGCAAAACAACAACAAAACAAACTCCCCAAACTCAACCCGAGCAGAAGAAAAAAGTGTGCAGAGACAGCTGGTATCAATTTAGTGGGGAGAGTGGTTTCTGTCCATATGTAAGACATATGCATTCTCCAGGGACCACACTTCACTGGCGATGTAACAGAGAACGAAGTGAAGAGCGAAAAGTAGACGAGGCGTTGTGGGAGAGGGAGGTAAATTAATTCTATGTCTGAACCAGTTAAACAGAAGGCAAACGCAAGATTTAACGGAACAGAAGAAATACACAGATGATGCACATATGCTCAGCCAATTAAAATAAGCCCTCCAAGTCGCCTTCGTTTGGAATATTCTCCTACAAAGAGGGTTCAGACTCCGGGAAAAGTTCTGTCGCTAATGCATGGTTTATCTCCAAGCCATCAGGGAGCATCACTTTTGTGGCGTTAAGTTTCCTTAATGAAACAGGCAGGGTGGAGTGACTAAGCGTGAAGCGCAGCCATTCTCTGGGGTCTAACCAAGGCCTCGGGCAGTTCGGGACGACAGCGCTCCCCAGCGCCTCTTCCGCGTAGCTGCCGAGGGAATGCAGGTCATTCCCAGTCCTCGCCCGCGGCGCCCCAGGTGACCGGAAGAGGTCCGAGAGCCTCACTGTCCAGTGCGCCGAACCTGCTTACTCGCGCGGTTCCAGAAGGCCTCGGCAGTGGTGCATCCAGCGCCTAGGCTGACAAAGGTCCGCGAACTCCCCGAGGCCGCGGCCCGTGACGTGGCCCAATCCACGGGTCGCCGGCAGTTTCGTCCTAACCGGTGTTTGGCCCCGCGGCCAGCTCTGGGAGGGCGGCACGGGGAAGGGGAGGGTCTAGAACGTGGCCCAATGGGGATGCGCGCCTGGCGAAGGGGGCGGGGCCAGGTGCGCTGCGCAGGGCCGGGCGGCCGACGCGCCAATGAACTCACGCCGCGTCCGGGGCCGGCTGCTTCGTGAGACGCTGCGGAGAGGTTGGTGGTTTCTGTAACAGTTTGCAAACCGAAGAGAGTTGTGAAGGGCGCGGGGTTGGGGGCGCGCTGCCGGCCGCGTGGGTACGTCCACTCTGCGTCTATCTCAAAGCGAGGGCCGCCGGAGGCCAGGGGGAGCGGGGCGGGTGAGGATGGAGCGGCGGCCGGGCCATGGGTCCTAGGGGAGGCAGCGTGCTAGCTCCGGGGGCGGGTCGGGAGCGGGAGAGAGGGCCGCACGGACGCCGGTGCCTTGGGCCCTGCAGTTCAGGCCCTGGGCTGCCACCACGCGCTCGCGGGGGGCAGAGGTCTGTTTCCGGGAGTGGGATCCTTCACCTTTGCTTTAGGTGTACACTCGCTCCAGACAAGCAACCTTACCCTGCGCCGCCTCTCTGTGGGCAGCGGGACCCAGGAGTGGGATGGAGAAAGGGGTGGGCGGGACAACCCTTAGGGATGCAGAGGAAGAGACGGGCCCTTCTTCCATGCCAGCCACCCCAACGTCATCGCCTTCTAGTTCCTGTCCAGGCCCTGTTTGACTTTCCCTGCCACCAGGAGAGCTCCAGGTGTGAGGTGGTAGTTGATCCAGTTAAGAGGGTCCCTGGCCCCACTTCAGGTGTCTGACAGCAGGCACAGTGCTGTGGCGCACCAGTTACACTTGCCTGTGCAGGGGATGTAAAGGCCAGATCACCTTCTTCCTGTCTTATTGCTTCTCTGCTTAGGGATGGAGTGGAGGGAGGATCTGTGCTCTTTTGCCTGGGCCAGAATGTGGAACATTTGGGGAGATGTTGGGAGTGATTGGAATTCATGAGAAAAGAGAGGAAGGGATGCAGGCTGCTCTACCTTGAGTCAAAGTGCAGTTGATAAGAATCTTACAGCTTATCTGTTCTGGGATGTGGTTCTGTTTCCTTCTTCACTCAGCATCCAGTTACAAGTGTTTTTCCTTCTCTGCCAGGGTCACAATGGCAGCCACAGTAAGAAGGCAGAGACCAAGGAGGCTACCTTGCTGGGCCTTGTTGGCTATCCTCTTGGCAGACCTGTTGACACTGAGTGGTATGTACCTGGCAAAAGGATCAAAAGAGTGGGTGTGAGGCTCCTACTCAAGTCTGTAAAGTTGCTGGACCTAAGCTTTTCTTTGTCTTTACCATCTTTCTCCATAGAGAGTGGTGTGTTTTAATTGATTGAACTCAGGAATGAGGAACAGGAGAGCTAATAGACAAACCTATGTTCTTTTTTCCCTTCAGACACATTGGCTGTGATGTCTGTGGACCTGGGCAGTGAATCTATGAAGGTGGCCATTGTAAAACCTGGCGTCCCCATGGAGATTGTATTGAACAAGTAAGGATAGCTCTGTGTCAAGGGCAGGCAGCATGGGGGCATCTGGGCTCTGTGTTTGTGTTCTTTGTGATGCTCACAGCATAGTGTGGTACCTGAGCAAGTGCAGATGTAGAGACTCCTAGGTTCATGCCCTGCTGCAGGCACCTGGGCCTAAAGCCCCTTTTTCTCAGGGAATCTCGGAGGAAAACTCCTGTGACTGTGAGCCTGAAAGAAAATGAAAGGTTCTTAGGAGACAGTGCAGCGAGCATGGTGAGTAGCAGCCCCTCTTGCCAGGTTGCTGCCCCTAGATTCTTGCCCTTTATCTGTCTCCATGAGTAAGAGGCAGGCTATCCTGGGCTTGGGACTAATAACCTGCTGGTTCTTCTCCTTTCAGGCTATCAAGAACCCAAAGGCTACACTCCGTTATTTCCAGAACCTCCTAGGGAAGCAGGCAGATAACCCTCACGTGGCCCTTTATCAGGACCGTTTCCCGGAACATGAGCTAAGCATTGACCCACAGAGGCAGACTGTGCGCTTTCAGATCAGCCCGTGAGTATTCTGAGGGGAGAGGTGGGCTCAGCAGCCCTGCTGGGCTCCTTGGCATATGTTCATGATTGCCTGCCTTGGTGTTTGGCTTTTCTTGTCTCAACTCCTCTCCTCAGACAGCTGCAGTTCTCTCCTGAGGAAGTACTGGGCATGGTTCTCAACTACTCCCGTTCCCTGGCTGAAGATTTTGCAGGTGAGTGCTAAGGTGGGGCCATTGGTGGCCAGGCTCCCCAAGATCTGCAGTGAATATGAAGTGGGAGCAGTTTTGCTTTTTAGTGAAAATTGGGCCATGCCTGAAGACATTTGATTGTTACAAACTGGAAATATGCTACTGGCATCTAGTGGGTAGAGGGCAGTGAGACTGGTATAAGTCCTGTTTTGTAACAAGACAGGCCCCAACAACAGAGAATTATCTGGCTGAAAATGTCAGGAGTACCGAGGTTAGAAACCATAGTCTGAGGTTTGGAGCTAGTGAATCCTGTTCTTTGTCCTCTGTAGAGCAACCCATCAAGGATGCAGTGATCACTGTGCCAGCCTTCTTCAACCAGGCTGAGCGCCGAGCTGTGCTGCAGGCTGCCCGCATGGCTGGCCTGAAAGTGCTGCAGCTCATCAATGATAACACTGCCACTGCCCTCAGCTATGGTGTCTTCCGCCGGAAAGATATCAACGCCACTGCACAGGTGAGCCAGGGTGGCCTCCTGATCAGGCATGTAGGGTGCTGGGTCTGGGGATGGATGCTGTTTGATCCATTTTGCATCTTGTTTGCATGGCTGTCCTTTGACAAAGTGTAGCAGTAGCTTCCTTTTGGCTCTTACTGGAGTTGTTCAGCATTGCGTTGAAAGTTGACAGCCACTTGCGGGCAGGCAGGTTGGTGGTTGGGCACCCTGCATTTGATAAGGTTCCCATGACAGTTCCCTTGGTGTCTCCATAGAATGTCATGTTCTATGACATGGGCTCAGGCAGTACTGTGTGTACCATCGTGACCTACCAAACAGTGAAGACCAAGGAGGCTGGGGTCCAGCCACAGCTGCAGATCCGGGGTGTCGGGTAAGTAAGACCCTCAGCTCAGGGATATCCTCCTGGATTTCAGCTACCTTTTTCCTGTTTTCTGTAGGAATGCTCTTCTCAGACAACTCATCAGTTACTGTGGGTGACTGCTCCCAAAGAGGAAGCGAAACCAGGATTGAGGAGGGGACACTTTAGGGAGATTGAAAAGCGGGGAACTTTCTGAATATATTCTAAAGAAGTTCACAAGGCTATAGATCATATGTAGAGCATCAGATTCAATTACTTTTTTGCTTTCTTTTTTAAAAAAAATTAAGTGTATGCATATGTATCTGCACATTTGAGTGTGGATGCCCAAGGAAGCCAGAGGTGTCAGATCCCTGAGGAGCTAGAGTTACAGACTATTGTGCACCACCCTTACTGGTGTTGGGAACTGACTCTGGTCTTGCGCAAGAGCAGCATAAACTCTTAACCACTGAACTATCTCTCAGCCCACTTTTTTGTTTTCTTGACATATTACTGTCGTCTGTCTGCCTTTCTTTTCATCCTTTTTAAAAAATATTTATTTATTTATGTGTATGAGTGTATTGCCTGCATGTATGTGAGTGCACCTGTGTTGTGCAGTGCTGCAGAGGTCAGAAGAGGGCTTCGGATTCCCCTAGAACTGGAGCTAAGGACAGTTCATAGCGGCCATGTGGGTGCTGGGAATTGAACCCGGGTCCTCTGCAAGAGCAGTCAGTGCTCTTAACCACTGAGCCATCTCTCCAGCCTCATTCATCCTTTTTTTAATTGGGATTGACTCTAGGGCTTCAAACATGCTACATAAGCACTCTACTATTGAACTGCATCTCCAGCCCTCCTTGTTTTCAGTGTTACTACATACTACCTGACTGGCCTGGAACTCAATAAATAGACTAGATTGGCCTCAAGCTTGTGGCAATCTTGCCTCTGTCTCCTAAGCTACAGAATTTATGTCATCCTAAACAAGGCCTAGAGGTACAAGTCTGTAATCTTAGCACTCCGAGGTCAGGGCAGGAGGATCAGAAGTTCAAGATCATCTTTAGCAACATATGGCATTCCCAGCCAGGCAGGAATACATGACCCTATCTGAAAAACAAAAATCCTCACTACTTCATAGACTTTCCTTTCAGCTCTTCACTCCACAGGGGCTTGTGTTAAAATACTGATGTAGGGCAAGGACTGTAGCTCAGTAGTAGAGTACTTGCATAGCATTCATGTGGCCCTGGATTCAGTTCATAGCACCAATGAATGAATATATGAATAAATTGAAATGAAATGCCAATCTGATTGTGACCCATTTCTTCAACACTTCCCCTGTGTCTGTCTGAGCCCTGCCTCCCCAAACTGTCACTGAGCCCTCTTGCTCTTTGAGTAACTTGCCATCCTTTGGGGCTTGCCATGTGCTCTCCTTCCTTCTTACCTCAGGTCTTTACAAAACTGTTCCCCCTGACTAGAATGTTCTTTGCTCTCTTCTATACCTAGTCAGTGCCATCTTTTCCTTGAGGTTTTAATTCCAGTATGCTTCTGGAACCTGAGTACAGCAGACCTCCTTCCCTGTGTGTGTTCCACTAGCCTTGTCTGCTTCTCTTATAATATGTGGCTATGATTTCACATTTGGGAAGTTATTCATCTGTTAGATTACAGACTCCTTGGTAGCAGGAAACTGTTTCCCCTCCAACTCTTCTTGCCACTCATATTCCAGGGCAAAGAGCTGATAGTAAATTTACTGAGTGAGTAGATAGATAAGCTGCTACTCTGAAGTGTCAGTCGTGCTGTAGAAAGCTGAGGGCAGAGCGCCATTGTTCTTGGTACCAGTGGAGGAACACTGTGTGTCCTTACACTTTACCTGCCCCTTTTCTTGAACAGATTTGACCGCAGCCTGGGTGGCCTGGAGATGGAGCTTCGACTTCGGGAACACTTGGCTGGGCTCTTCAATGAACAGCGCAAGGGCCAGAAAGCCAAAGATGTCCGGGAAAACCCACGTGCCATGGCCAAGCTGCTACGGGAGGCCAATCGGCTCAAAACTGTCCTGAGTGCCAATGCTGACCACATGGCCCAGGTACCTATGCAGTGCTTGGTGGAGGGCAGGCTTGTGCCTCTGCCACCCCATCCCTACCCCAGAACCTGCAACTCCTACCTCCAAGGATGGAAATCCTGTTGGGGATTCTGTTTTGTCTTCCCCAGAGAACTGAACCTGAGTGAGAATCCCTAACAGTTTCTTCCTCCCCCAGATTGAGGGCTTGATGGATGATGTAGACTTCAAGGCAAAAGTGACTCGAGTGGAGTTTGAGGAGTTGTGTGCAGACTTATTTGAGCGGGTACCTGGTCCTGTCCAGCACGCCCTCCAGAGTGCTGAGATGAGCTTGGTGAGGATGTGAGGGAGGCAGAAGTATGCCCCTGGGAATGGCACAGGACACGGGGTGTCAAGGGGAAGAGTTTATTTCAAGAAAGGACATGAACTGCTGGTATCTCACCTTCTTCCCCCTCTGTAGGATGAGATCGAGCAGGTGATCCTGGTGGGTGGGGCCACTCGAGTTCCCAAAGTTCAAGAGGTGCTGCTGAAGGCTGTGGGCAAGTGAGTATGGTGTGGAGGCTGGGCCTGGGGCCTAGTTCTGCCTGTGGCAGGGCTGGGCTGCAGGCTGTGCAGCAGGAAGGAAGTGGGGAAGGGAGAACAGGTTCCCAGGTGGCTGGTGCTGAGGCATGTGACTCTCATAGGGAGGAGCTAGGGAAGAACATCAATGCAGATGAAGCAGCTGCCATGGGGGCTGTGTACCAGGCAGCAGCACTCAGCAAAGCCTTCAAGGTGAAGCCATTTGTTGTTCGTGATGCTGTCATCTACCCCATCCTGGTAAGCTTATCTCATCAGGTGACAGGTTCCCTTTGCATCTCCAATGAGATCTCTGTTCACTTAACCTGTTGCACCCTCATCCCTACCTGAGAACCTACCCTGGTTCTCAGTACACCCTCTCTCTGCCTATTTTGTTGTGTAGGTGGAGTTCACAAGGGAGGTGGAGGAGGAGCCTGGAGTTCGCAGCCTGAAGCACAATAAACGTGTGCTCTTCTCCCGCATGGGACCCTATCCTCAACGCAAAGTCATTACCTTTAACCGCTACAGCCATGATTTCAACTTTCACATCAACTACGGTGACCTGGGCTTCCTGGGGCCTGAGGATCTTCGGTGAGGGGCGGGGGCAGGATGGCACCTTCAGGGAGGGGGAGGTTTGCCTGCCAGCTGACCGAGGAGCAGGGAGGGGAATGTGGGACTTTCAGGGCTGATGGTGGGGAGAGGCTGTGGGTTAAGGTTAGGTTTTGAACAGCCTGTGTGTCTATCCTTCTGAGTATGTCCTGTGCAGGGCCCCTGATATGTTGTGCCAGGAGGCTGTGTGGTCTGGAGTTAGGGATGGGCCAGGTGGGTATCCTCAAACTCTTTTTGCCTTTCTAATCAGGGTATTTGGATCCCAGAATCTGACCATGGTGAAGCTTAAAGGTGTGGGTGAGAGCTTCAAGAAATATCCCGACTATGAATCCAAGGGCATCAAGGCACACTTCAACCTAGATGAGAGTGGTGTGCTCAGTTTAGACAGGGTGAGAGCAAAAGGAGACCCTGTATGGGGGAGGACAGGGGCCTAGCCTTTCCCAAAATGGGCTCCATGGGATAAATAAAACACTTTGGAAACAAATCAAATAATTGTGCTTAGTAGGATCTGGTATGGGCCTTCTTGTGACCTATACATGCTTATGAGTGTTGTAACTTGCTTAGAGGGAACTCACACACATATGATGAGGGTTGGAGTGCACATTTGTGGAAGCCAGAGGACAGTGTTATGGGGTTCTCTCCTTATACCTTTACATGAGTTCTGGGGATTAAACTCAGATAGCCAGGGTTGTGTGACAAGAGCCTTTGTTTGCTGAATCATCTCACTGGCCCAGAGAAGCCCTTTGTGTGTGTGTGTGTGTGTGTGTGTAAGTGCCTGTTTTTGAGACAGGGTCTTACCATATAGCTCTGGAACTCATTATGTAGACCAGGCTGGCCTTGAACTCACAGAGACCCACCTGCCTCCCAAGAACTGGGATTAAAGGCATGCACTTCCACTCCTGGCCTAGAGAAGCCATGGGTTTGTTGGTGGTGGTTTAATTTAATTTTTTTTTTTTTTTTTTTTTTTTTTTTTTTTTTTTTTAGGTCTGTTTGAGACAGAGTCTCCCTGTAGCCCCAGCGGTCCTAGAACTCACTATGTAGCCCAGGCTGGCCTTGAAGTCACAGAGATCTGCCTGCCTCTGCCTCCCAAATGCTGGGATTAAAAGCCTGTGCCACCACGCCCAGCTGATTTAATTAAATTTTTAAAAATTTACTTATTGTTGCTGGGCATGGTGGTGCATGCCTTTAATCCCAGCACTCGGGAGGCAGAGGCAGGTGGATCTCTGAGTTCAAGGCCAGCTTGGTCTACATAGTAAGTTCCAGGACAGCTGGGGCTTCAGGGAGACCCTGTCTCAAAAAAAACAAACAAAAAAAATTTACTTATTTTTATTTTGTGTGTGTTTGTTGCATGTATGTCAGTGCACCACATGCATGCAATGACTGCAGAAGCCAGAATAGGGCATTGGATCCCCTGGAATTAGGTGGTTGTTAGCTGCCATGTGGGTGCTGGGAACTGAATTGTGAACCACTGTGTTAATGAGTAGGGACATGGAGGACTCTGAAGAGAGAAGTCTGAGTCTGTCCTTAGAAGCTGGTAATTAAAGAGGTCAGTGTAACCATCCAGGAGTCTATAGAAGGCAGGTGAGGGGCTGGAGAGATGGCTCAGTGGTTAAGAGCACTGACTACTCTTGCAGAAGACCTGGGTTCAATTCCCAGCACTCACATGGCAGCTACAAACCGTCCTTAACTCAGGTTCCAGGGGAATCCGAAGCCCTCTTCTGACTACTGCAGCATCACATGACACGGGTACACTCACATATATGCAGGCGGTATGCTCAAGATTGAACTCAAGGTGTCAGACTTGGTGGCAGGCAACTTTACCTGGTGGGCCATCTTGTTGGTCTCATATGTATTTATTTTTTAATCCATTTCAAAATAGGTGGAGTCTGTGTTTGAGACCCTGGTGGAGGACAGTCCAGAAGAGGAATCTACTCTCACCAGTAAGAAGAACATGGGTGTGTGTGTGTGTGTGTGTAAAGCCATGTGTAAACAAGAGAGTAAATGCACTTGTGGTTTGGGGAGGTGATGTCACTGTTGGTCCCTTTTTGAGCCTTTGAACTTCTTCCCCCTAGAACTTGGCAACACCATATCTAGCCTATTTGGAGGCAGTACGTCATCAGACGCCAAAGAGAATGGTACTGATGCTGTCCAGGTAAGGACAACGGCATGGAGAATTGCAGGGCAGAGAATCTGGTGGGTATCACAGCTATCTGAAGGACCCACTGGTCCTTGTGCCAGTCCATGTCCTACCCATGCTCCTCTTCGCTTGAAGTCAATCCCTGTGCCAGAGCCTCAGGCCCACTGTTCTCATTGCCAGACACCTTCCCTCTGTCCACCTAGATCACTGTAGTCCAAACAGACCCTCACTGTTAACAAGTGTCATCTCTTTTACTCCTAAGCTTTGTCCTGAGTGGTGGTGATCCCCTTCCAAACACAGGAACTGATGTAGTCAAAGCCAAGTAGGCTCCCCATCTCAGGTGCCTGTAACTATCTCCCAGGAGGAAGAGGAGAGCCCTGCCGAGGTGAGCAAGGACGAGCCTGGAGAGCAGGGGGAGCTTAAGGAGGAAGCTGAGGCCCCAGTGGAAGACACCTCTCAGCCTCCACCCCCTGAGCCTAAGGGTGACGCAGCCCCTGAGGGAGAAAAGTCTACTGAAAAAGAAAGTGGAGACAAGTCCGAGGCCCAGGTGAACTGCACTCAGAGGAAGACTAGTGAAGTCAGGCTAAGGGAGTGGATGGATGGAAGCTGCTTGTTTGTGCCCTGTGGAGGAGGTAGCCAAAGCTTTTCCTGACATCACCACTCTTTCCACTCAGAAGCCCAATGAGAAGGGGCAGGCAGGGCCTGAGGGCATTCCACCAGCTCCTGAGGAAGAGAAAAAGCAGAAACCTGCCCGGAAACAGAAAATGATAGAGGAGATAGGCGTGGATCTGGCTGTTCTGGACCTACCTGACTTGCCGGAGGATGAGCTGGCTCGTTCTGTGCAAAAGTAAGTGGTGTGCATGTGTGAAGGGAGGCAGGGTGTAGAATGGTGCTCCTGGGAGAGCTCCAAGTTCTAACCCTTCTCCTTTACCCCTGCTTCTTGTTCGTACCATAGGCTTGAGGATTTGACTCTCCGAGACCTAGAAAAACAGGAACGGGAGAAAGCTGCCAATAGCTTGGAAGCTTTTATCTTTGAGACCCAGGTTAGCAGGCCAGGGGCAGCACTCAGGTTTGGGAGCATGTGACTCCGATCCTTGTCCTGAAGCTCACTGCTTACATGCATTTGTGTCCTTCCATAGGACAAGTTATACCAGCCTGAGTACCAGGAAGTGTCCACCGAGGGACAGCGGGAGGAGATCTCTGGGAAACTCAGTGCTACATCTGCCTGGCTGGAAGATGAGGGATTTGGGGCCACCACTGTGGTGAGGGATTTCCCAGGATATGGTGGGCAGATGGGGTTCAACCTCCTAGAGTCAGAGAGTTGAGAAGAGCTGGAGTATGAGCTATAATTATAGCAGGGTCCAGGGTCTCTTGTCATCCCTCAACCCTGCTCTCCCATGTCCATCAGATGTTGAAGGAGAAGCTTGCTGAACTGAGAAAGCTGTGCCAAGGGCTGTTTTTTCGAGTGGAAGAGCGTAAGAAATGGCCTGAACGGCTTTCTGCTCTGGACAGTCTCCTCAACCATTCCAGTATTTTCCTCAAGTGAGTGGCCCCTGCATCTTTTCTTTTTTGTAGTCTTATTAAGACCACAACTCTTCTGTCAGCTTTCTGTAACCCTCAGCCCAGGCTTTCAGCCCTGGACTGATTGTCTCCTCTGGCTTCCAGGGGTGCCCGGCTCATCCCAGAGATGGACCAGATCTTCACTGATGTGGAGATGACAACATTAGAGAAAGTCATCAATGAGACCTGGGTAATTGGCTCTGTGAATGTGTAACTGGACACTTAGCAGGTGCCCTGGGATGCTAAGGGTAGCAGGGTTATTGGCAGTCTGCGGGAGGAGCCTCTGTTGGTTGAGAGTGATTTCCTCTGGGGTAGACACCTAAGCCTTTCATGGCCTCACCCATAGGCCTGGAAGAATGCAACTATGGCTGAGCAGGCCAGGCTTCCCGCCACAGAGAAGCCTGTGCTGCTTTCAAAAGACATTGAGGCCAAGATGATGGCCCTGGACCGTGAGGTGCAGTATCTGCTCAATAAAGCCAAGTTCGCCAAACCTCGGCCACGGCCCAAGGACAAAAATGACACCCGAACAGAACCTCCTGCCAATGCCAGTGCCAGTGACCAGGGGGAGAAGGTCATCCCACCCACAGGTGAGAATTTGAGTTTCTGTGTGAGGAGAAGGCCACCTCTTCCTCCTAGCTACATCTTACTCTTGGTTTCCCTCTAGGCCAGACTGAAGAGGCAAAGCTCACTTCAGAACCTGACAAAAAAGAAACTGGTAAGTTGGAGAAACTGGGTGGGAATGGGACATTGCATTACTCTGGGGCCAGGTGAATGGTGGACATAGCCTGTTTCTGGACAGCCTATGAACTGTGGGGTAGCCTTTAATTTTTAAGAGCATTGCTTTAAAATAATAAAAGGCAGGAGGCTGGAGAGGTGGCTCAGCAGTTAAGAAAGAGCACTGGCTGCTCTTGCAAAGGACCCGGGTTCAGTTCTCAGCACCCAAATGGTAGCTATCAACCATCTGTAACTTCAGTTCCAGGGGATCTAACACCCTCTTCTGGCCTCCACAAGCATTGTATGACACAGGTGCACTTGCAGGCAAAACACTCATAAAAGGTAAAAGGTAAGTTTTTAAAAATACTCTTTAAAAAGAAAGAAAAAAATAAAGGAGGCAAAGATGGGGCTGAGGCGATAGCTGTGTGTCAAAAGCTTACTGCACAAGCCTGAGGACTGGAGTGCAGATCTCCAGTTCCCACATAGATGCCGGACAGATATGGTAACCTGTAATCCCAGCATGCGAGACAGGATCCCTGGAGCCAGCTGGTTAGCCAGACTAGTGGAATCGGCAGTTCTGGATTCTCATGAGAAACCCTGCTTTAATGTACAAGGTGGGGAACAATCAAGAGAGACATCCACTGTCAACCTCTGGCCACCACATGCACACATATAACATGCATATACATGCATGTGTAAAAGGCACACATGGAAAATACAAAGAGTAAAAAAAGGCAAAGAGATTGAATGTGGCCCACACATCTTGGGCTACAGAAGTAATTTATAATCTCTGTGTTAGCATCTCCTTTCCTTTTTTTAATCTGGAATTTTCAGTTCAATGCTCATTTCAGTTTTTACTTTTGTGTGTCTGAGTGTTTTGCCTGCATGTATATAAGAGCACCACATGTGTGCAACGCTCACAGAGGTCAGAAGAAGGCATCAGATCCTCTGGAACTGGAGTTACAGATGGCTTAGTCTCCATGTAGGTACTGGGACTGAACCCAGCTTCTCTGCAAGAGCAGCCAGTGCTCTTAACTGCTGAGCCATATCTCAGCCCTGCATCTCTCTTCTTTAATGACTTTTACCTTCCAAAATGCAGGCTCGGAACCAGCAGACTCTGAGCCTTTGGAGTTAGGAGGTCCTGGAGCAGGTAAAGGTGGAGCCCAGGGTATTGAGCAACCTGGTAGGGTTGGAGGAAAAACACTTGAGAAGAACAGGGTGCTTGGCTGTTACACCATTGTCTTCCCCTTGCTCTCCCTATCTCCCAACAGAATCTGAACAGAAGGAGCAACCAGCAGGACAGAAGCAGCCTTTGAGGAATGATGAACTATAACCCCACCTCCAGTCTCCCCACTTGCCTCCAGCCCCTTTTCCTACCGCCTCTATTTATTGCGTATCAGGGTCGGGGCAGGGATTGGTCCTGCCCTTGGCTGCTCAAGTTCCTTCTCTAACCTGGGACAGAAAGGTGGCTGCCACTCAACAGTTCTTTCTGGAGTAGCACCATGAGTAAAACCTGATTTTGTTCTGTCCCCAGCCCCACCCTCTGGTCTCTAACCCATCTGGCCCTGTGTTTGGGAAAAATCACTATTATGTCTTAATTCTTTGCCTTTGGGTAGGTGAGAGTATGGCTGCCAGCGGTTGTTGGAGACCTGGAAGTGGGAAAGGATGTCCTGGGATGCTGAAGAGTGCCCAGTCTTCTCTGAGCATCCTTTCCTCTAACAAAGGAATCAGTGTCCCATTTGGGTCAGTGTCTACCGAGCCTCGGTCTCCATCTTTGGTTTCGAGTGCCTACCCTTGTCCCTTTCTCTCCCCCAGTGTCTTCTCTTTCCCACTCTTCATTCCTTTACCTTCCTGGTGCAGGTAGGGCTACTCTCTGCCCCTTGCCCAAAGCCTTCCATCTGGACTGGCTGGAGTAAAGGTTTCCACAGCTTATTTGGCCCCTGGTGGCTAGAACAAGCAGGAAGCAAGTAAGAAAGGAATCCACTGCCCTCCAGAGAGAGAGAGAGAGAGGTATAAGAGCCCTGCATCTCCCACCCTGGATTGTTGGGCCCAGGAAAGCCAGTATCCTGCAGGCACTCAGTCTTTTCTTCCCAAGATCTTGTGATACCTGCCCCCACCCTTCCTGTTCTGTTCCCTGCCCCCTAGCCTTTTCCTCCTCCCTTACCCCCTGGGCTGACCAAAAATGTGCTTTCTACTGTGAGCCCCGTCCCAAGACCCTGGGGGATGGAGAGACCATAGTGTGAATGTAAAATGCCCCCTCTGAGGCAGGCTTTGTGGTAAAGGAAGAGGGTCAGGGTTCACCTCCCATGTGCTTTGCTCAGCTAGGAGGGAAAGCCCTTGCCCACTATGTCCATTCCTAGAGAGCCTGTCCTCCAGTATGCATCTGTAGCAGGAGCTAGGGCCACAGCCCTAGCCCCAGCCCCAGGGCAAAGCAAACCTGGTTGTGTCAGTCATTTTGTCTTTTCTTCCCCAGCCCCTCTTCCCTGCCCCCTTTTTTTTTTTTTTTTTTTTTTTTTGACAGATTGGCAGAGGGACGTAAAGTCCTGCAGCCACTCCCCTGTATGTTTAAGTTCCTTCATTAGCAGTTCAGGCTGCTTGGACAGGTTTGAATCAAATTGTACTTTGTTCCATTGTAATTAAGAAACTGTTTCAATAAAATATTCTTTTCTATAATGTTTGTCTTTTTAAAAATTTTTATTTTTGCCGGGCATGGTGGTGCACACCTTTAATCCCAGCACTTGGGAGGCAGAGGCAGGCGGATCTCTCTGAGTTCAAGGCCAGCCTGGTCTACATAGTGAGTTCCAGGACAGCTGGGGCCACAGGGAGACCCTGTCTCAAAAAGACCAAACAAAAAAAAAATAAATTTATTTTTATGAGTATGAGTGTTATGCATGCATGTGTATAAGTGCACATGTGTCATGCAGTGCCCATGGAAGCCAGAAGAAAGTGTTAGACCTTTGGAACTGGAGTTATGGACAATTGTTAGCCATCATGTGAGTGCTGGAAATTGAACCTGGGTCTTCTGCAAGAGCAACCAGTGCTGTTAACTGCTGAGCCAGCTCAAAACAGGGTTCCATATAGGCCAGGCAACCCCTCCATAACTTGCTTTATATTTGAGTTTAACTTCGAACTGCCTCCAGTGCTGGGATTACAGGTGTGAGCCAAGTGTAGTTTTTAGATTTTGAGTTTTATTTTTAAAATGTGTCTATTTCCTCAAACATAAATAATGCAAATTTAGTGTGGAAAATTGGAAAGTTAGCAATTTGTGTTAAGACAGTTACATTCACATGACTTGAGAAGCCTACACCCAATCTTGGGTATGTACAACTGTCTTTAAGGTCTATCTCAGTGCCTGTCCTTAAATCACCTCATGTGGTGGTGCCTGCCTGTGGTCCCAGTACTCAGTAGGATTGCCAAGAATTCAAGACCCTGTCTAAAACAAACTAAACTGCTTCATCAAAAACTAGCTTTGCTGCAAAAACACTGCTTTGTTTGATTAGGAGTCTTGGGCAAGACTTGGACCACAAGTTTAAGAGGCTTTCCTGGGCTACAGAGCAAGCAGGTGGTCAGCTCTACCAATTTAGTGAGACCTTAGATCAAAACAAAAGGCCAGCCTGGTCTACATAAGTACTAGGCCATCCAGGGATATATAGTGAAACCCTGTCTCAAAACAAAAAGGAAAATAGTGCCAGCAAGATAGCTCAGTGAGTTGAAACTGCAAGCCTAGTGACCTTAGTTATACCCTCAGACCCCACTTGAAAGTAGGAGAGAACTGAAAACAGTAGTTGTCTTGGGGCTGGAGAGGTGGCTCAGCAGTTAAAGAGCACTGGCTGCTCTTGCAGAAGACCTGGCTTTGAATCCCAGCACCCACATGGTGGCTAACAACTACAACTCCAGTTCCAGGGTATCTGACACCCTCTTCTAGCCTCCGCAGGCATTGTATGACACAAGTGCACTTACATACTTGCAGGCATAACACAGACATAAAAATAAAATATTTTGCCGGGCATGGTGGTACACGCCTTTAATCCCCTACACTTGGGAGGCAGAGGTGGGTGGATCTCTGAGATCGAAGTCAATCTGGTCTCCATAATAAGTTCCAGGCCAGCTGTGGCTATGAGAACAACTTGTCTCAAAGACCAAATAACTTTTGCAGAAGAGGGTGGTGGAAAGAATATAAGAGCCAGAGGAAGGGGTGGAGTGTTAACTGGAAGTGTACTCCAACTACGCCAACAAGCTACAGTCACACCTCCTTCCCATGCTCATCAAGGAGTCAGGGGAGTCAGTTACCCCTCCCACCCAATCAGTCCACCTTAACTGTATGTGAGGGAGGGGCTAAGGATATATAAGCCAAGAATGCCAGGAGGCATTTTCCTCACCATTTTCTGCAGCTGTTGGGAAGTCACAGGATCTATATTTGAGTGTGGACTTTCCAGTGCAGATGTAAATGGAGGGGGTGCTCACTTCTCTGTAAATAAACCCCCACCCTATGAAAAAAAAAAGAGAATGATAGGTGTTTGGATAGATAGATGAGAGGGATCTGACGACTAAACCGCAAGTGGATGGACTTGTACTGGACAATGTCTGGGGACACTGATTTGGCACAGTGGAGTATATGGGTTCCAGTGGGCAGGCTGTGGGAGGGTGCTAGTGGGGGCAGGGCTATAAAGATGATTCAGATTGATGGAGATATTCTGTATGAAATACAACAAACTTTAATAAAAAACAAATTTTAAAAAATTATAAGTTGTCACCGGGCGTGGTAGCGCACAACTTTAATCCCAGCACTCGGGGGGCAGAGGCAGGTGGATCTCTGTGAGTTCAAGTCCAGCCTGGTCTACATAGTGAGTTCCAGGACAGCTGGGGCTACAGGGAGACCCTGTCTCAAAAAGACTGGAAAAAAAAAATTACAAATTGTCTTCTGGTCTCCCTGTGCTTGCATGAGCCTCCTCCACCTCCCATACACATGTCATGGTTGGCTTTGGTTGTCAACACACCTGGGAAGAAGGAACCTCAATTGGAGAATTTTCTATTGCATTGGCCTGTTGGTATGTCTTTGAGGCATTTTCTTGATTGTTGAGTGATGTAGAAGGACCCAGCCCACTGTGGGTGGTGCCACCCCAGCAGCTGGTCCTGGGTTGTATAAGAAAGCAGGCCGCACAGTAGTCAGTACCTCCATGATCTCTGCTTCAGCTTGTGCTTCTAGGTTCATGTCCTGAGTTCCTTCCATGACTTCCCTCAATGATGACCTGTGAGCTGAATGTGTGGGCCAAATAAACCCTTTCCTCCTCAAGTTGGTTTTTGTCAGTGTGTTTCATCACAGCAATAGAAGTAAATTAGAACAACATATATAAAAATATATTTTTTAAAAAAATTTTATTTAGCTGGGCATGGTGGCGCATGCCTTTAGTTCCTGCACTCGGGAGGCAGAGGCAGGTGGATCTCTGAGTTCAAGGCCAGCCTGGTCTACACAGTGAGTTTCAGGACAGCTGGGGCTATAGGGAGACCCTGTCTCAAAAAGACCAAAAAAATTTTTTTTTAATTATTTTTACTTTATGTGTATGCGTGTATTGCCTGCATGTAGGTAAGTGCACCTGTGTCATGCAATGCCTGTGGAGGTCAGAAGAGGCTGTTGGATCCCCTGGGACTGGAGTTACAGACACTTGTTAGCTGCCATGTGGGTGCTAGGATTTGAACCCAGGTCTTCTGCAAGAACAAGCAGTATTCTTAACCACTGAGCCATCTCTCCAGTCCCCCAAAATACAATATTTTAAAAAGACACTAAAGTGCTGGGGATATAACTCAGTGGTAGAGCACTTGCCTAGCATAGCAAGGCCCTGGGTTCAATCCCCAGCACTGCCTGTGTGTGTGTGTGTGTGTGTGTGTGTGTGTGTGTGTGTTGTTTAAAGCTACCATAAAAGAATTATTAAAACTTTGAACTTAATTTAAATTTGTGTTTGTAACTTTTTGTGCATGTGTGTATGTGCATGCCTGTGCATGCTCCCTCAGAGGTCAGGGGAGAATTGGGTGTCCTTTATCACTCTCCACCTTATTCCCTTGAAACAGGGTCTCACTGAACCTGGAGTTCACAGTTTCAGTGAGGCTGGCTCTCAGTCTCCCCTTCCCTTCTTGCTGGTATTACAAGCACAGTAGGCCACACTCAGCTTTACTTTTTTCATGTGGGTGCGAGGGATCTTTGATTTGGTTTGTTTGGTTTGGGTTTTTATTTTTTTATTTAATTAAAAAATTTTTTCATTCTTTTTGAGACATCGAGACGGGGTCTCCCCATAGCCCCAGCTGGCCTAGACTTGCTATGGAGACCAGGCTGGCTTTGATCTCATAGAGATCCACCTGCTCCCAAGTGCTGGGCTTAAAGGTGTGTGCCACCATGCCCAGCCCAACCTCTTTTTTGCTGTTGTTTGAGATGGTCTCAAGTAACCCAGGTTGGCCTCAAACTCACTGTGTAGCCTTGAACTCCAGATCTTCTACTTTCACCTCCCAAGAAATGGAATTATAGGTGTATACCACCATCCCTAGCTGGATATGTAATTTTCATGAAAATAAAAA